TGAAGTTGCATGGTGTTCCTTTGTGTATTGTGTCAGGTAGAGATATGAGGTTTACTTCTGATTTTTGGAAGAGTTTGTAAGAAGTGTTGGGTTCTAAGTTGAGTTTGAGTTCGGCGTATCATCCTCGGACGGATGGTCAGACGGAAAGGACAATTCGATTGTTGGAAGATTTGTTGAGAGAACGTGTTCTTGAGCAGGGAGGTTCGTGGGATACTTACCTTTCGTTGATAGAGTTCACTTATAATAATAGTTATCATTCTAGTATTGGAATGACACCTTTTTAAGCGTTGTATGGTCGGAGATTAGAACTCCTTTATGTTGGCATGAATCTGGAGAAAGTGTAGTGCTTGGACCTGAACTTGTTCGTGAGACTACTGAGAAGGTGAAGTTGATTCGAGAAAAGATAAAAGCTTCCCAAAGTAGACAGAAGAGTTATCATGACAAGAGAAGGAAAGATTTAGAATTTCAAGCGGGTGGCCATGTGTTTATGAGAATTACACTTGTGACTGGTGTTGGGCAAGTATTGAAGTCTAAGAAGCTCACTTCTCGTTTTATTGGTCCGTATCAGATTTCGGAAAGAGTTGGAAATGTTGCTTATAGAGTGGATTTACCACGTAATCTTTTGAATTTGCATGATGTGTTTCATGTGTCACAACTTCATAAGTATATTTCAGATCCATCTCATGTGCTTCATATGGATGATGTGCAAGTACGGGATAATCTTACTGCGGAAACGATGCGTGTATGAATGCGGGTCGTGAGATGAAGACTTTAAGAGGCAAGGAAATTGCTTTGGTGAAAGTAGTATGGCTAGGAGCTGCTGGAGAAAGCATGACTTGGGAGTTGGAAAGCAAGATGCATGACTCCTATCCTGAGTTATTCGAATAAGGTAAATTTTCGAGGACACAAATATTCTAAGTGGGAGAGAGTTGTAACGTCTGTTAATTTAATTAATTATTTAATTAAATTATTTTTAGATTATTTGTGAATTTGTGAGATGTTGGGAATTATTGGTATAAGTTGTTATATTGTTATTAATTAATTAATTAGTTGATTAATAATAATAATAATAACGTCAGAACTAATGGAATATTGTGTTGGGCTTATATTATTGGTTGGAAGTAGTAAAGTGGGGGTGTGAAAGTTAAGCCCGATAGAATTGATGATATAAGGTTAAGCTGACACAAGGATTTGTTTTTGTTGGTGATTAAGGAGTTCTGTACATTGATCGGAAAAGTTGCATTGAGAGAGGAGCAAGTTACCCGGTGTCGAGCAGAGCAAATCAAAGTTGTCGGCTGGAAGTTTGGTGGAGCGACCTTCAATCCAGGTAAGGGTGGAGTTCTGACCTTATAATGGGATTTGTGATGTGTATTATGTGGGAATTGGTCGGTTGTATGACTGTGTGTATTGATGTTTCTGGATTTGTCATCAAAGTTTCCCATTTCTCTATGTTGTGGTCGTTAAGAAGTCGCTGTATAGTTGTATCGCATGATTAGTGAACATGTTATAGGAAGTTTCCCGGTTGTTATGTTGTGGTCGTTATGAATTTTATGGTGTCCGGAGCAGTTGGTAGGAAAATTAGGGATTGTTGTTATGGTCGTTATAGGAAGGGTTCAGCGTGACCGTTTTGTTCAATTGACGAATATGTTAAATAGGAAATGTAGTTGCCCGTTATGGTAGTATTCCGAGCAGTTGGCCAAAGTTCAATTATGTTGATGTTGAATTGTTGTTGATGTTGTAGGCTTATGGCTAACGTTGATTTATGTTAAGTTGTTATTTGTTGTTGTTGTTGCTACATTCATGTTGTGTCACAATACATCGCATATCAAGTTGGAGCTGATGCTCGTTAAGTTGGCCTGGATTGGCAAAATATTAAGTTGAAGGCTTATGCCTTGTTGATGCCTCTATTTATTGGTAGATTTTTTAAGTCTGGAGTTCTGCTCTATTGGTACCACATGCATTTGCATAAAGACAAGTTGCATTCTATGTTGCATTATGAGTCGTTGTGTGGTTGATTTGATTATGCTTATGTTGTTAAAATTTGAGGAGTGGTGAATATGTATAAACTGATTCTAATGTTTCATTTATCATACGTTCTATTATATGGTTCGATATCTCACCCCTTCTATTTGAATGTTACCCCGATGTTGGTAACGTGCAGGTAGTCCAGAGTGAAGGCGGTTTACCTTCAGTAGTTCGACTCAGTGTCATTGCTCTGATACGTAACACTTGGGGGGGGGGGGGGTGAACGCTTGCTATCTTATTATTATTATTCAACTGTTTCACTTAAATTTATTGTTCGCTAAATAACCGTTATCTGAAGTTGTTTTAGTTGGATAAAGATGTTATATTCTTTAAGTTGAATATTGGATTCTGCTGCGTGGTTATGAAAGTTTTTGGTTTTAAGATATTAATGTATGTTGTTGTTGGTTCATCCAATTTAATGTGTTATGTATCTGTAATGAATACCGTTGTTTTAAGTTTTAATTGTAGCATCATGATTCGGTTGTCGAAAGTTTTATAACTTTGATTTTGCATTTTGTTTCTTTAACTCTGATTTTGGTTTACCCCATTCATAGGTTATCCCTTGAGTCATGTTGTACCCCAGTGAGTTATTCTCATGGTTGAACCCACTTTCTTAGTCTATTTTATGTCGTAGTGATTTCTACTTTCTTTTGTTATTCCCAGTGGTGTCTTGTTTCCCCTATAGAGTTCGTCTTATTGCATCCATAATCATAAGCATTGCATGGTATCTTGGGGCTAAAAATAGGGTTTGTTTTTATATTTAGGTATCTTCAATCGTGTCGAGACAAACATTTTAACCTTGGTATCACCGGGTAGAAGACACTTAAATAAGGGCAACTGTTATACCCCAATTTTCCCCCCTAAGATCCCTCATCAATTCATATCATCACAATGCACCAAGATCACACATGTGGGTTGGTTATCTCTTCTACTTTCTCCTATCTCTAAGTTTGCTCTTGAGGGATCACCAAGCACCCTATTTGTGTTTATTGTACATATATGCTTTATATTTCACTAACCTCTAACCAAAATTCAAATATATGTCTTGTTTGGGCTTTCGATCAAGAAGTTCAGGTGGTGGTTCCTCAATTAGGTTTGTGAGTTGCTCAGGACAAAGATTAATTCTCAAATGCCAAGTTTTCAAAGTTGTGATCTATAATATTAGGTCACATTATCCTCAAGCTTCATTCAGCATGGTGAATGCAAGTTTGGTTGCTTAATTCTCAAGACTCTTCAAGATAGGTTCATGTGTTTATTTCCATGCCTTCTTCAATGAGTAATCTCAGGTTCTGACAAGTCTGAGCATGATTCAATCAATATTTTATCATCTCAAGTTCATATGTGCATTAGCATGCCTTGGGTTGCGGAAAAAGATCAAGTTTACAAGTTGATTCAAAGTTGGTTTGACCAAAAGTCAACAATTGGAAGTTCAAGTTCAAACGATCATAATTGATTCATTATTCAATATTTTTGAGTGGTTCCTTTTTCATATGATTCCTTTTGACATCCTCTCCAACTTCTCTTTACAAGTCGAGAGTTAATTATGTGTAGAAGATCATCACAAGTTTGAGTCCATTAGAGGTTGCTTTGTGACTTTGACCCGATTCCAATTAATTTTTTTTCCAAATTTCGAGGATTGTAGCTTCATCAATTTTCATTATTTTGGTTTGATTCTTTTTGCATGATACTCTTCAAGACATTATTTACAAATTTACTTTTAGAATCAAGAGCAAATTGTGCTTAGAAGGCCATGGAATTTATTAAAATATTACGAGTCATTTTGGACTCAGTATGTTTTTAACCTATAACTTTAATTTATGACATGAATGCTTCTTCAAGATGTTGATTTCTTGTGTTGAGGTTATTAGTTGCTTAAGTCAAAATGCTTCTTGCTGTGAATTAAGATTTCACCAACTTTTCAAATGGAGTTTGGATGTTCTTTTGAATTTGTGATTTAAGTGAAGTTTGGTTCATGATATTCTCAATGTCCAATTCATAAGTCTAATTATTTCAATTATGGAATATTAATTTATTTGAATTTGTGTTACTTGTAATTTAAGGACTTTATGTCAAGAGTTCAAATTCAAAGGATGGAGAGAAAAGTCTTGATCTCATGAGTATGGAAGAGAAATTACAATGTATTCATATTGGTTCAAGATCGCTTTTTAAAGTCCACGCTTCATTCAAATTCATTTTCAAGGTCCAAGTTACATACAAGTTTCAATACCCATTCTCATTCAAGGTTCAAAATCTCAAAGAGATATTCAAGTTTCACATCATTTAAGTCCAACTCAAAATTCAGATAGAACTAATTGGAATTGCAAGTCAAGTTCTAAACCATTCAGGCATTCAAAGAATTTACCAATGGATACATGTTAGAATTACAAAGGAAGTGTGCTAAAGTTACAAGTACAATTTTAATTTGTAATTGAAAAACTCTTCAATGGCCTAATTTCAAGCTACAATGCCAATCTATAAGAACAAATGAAGAGTTCTCTTTGCCTAGGCTTCCAAATGTATCATAAATTTTGAGTTCAGACATCTTTGCAAGTCCTTCCAAAGTTCCAATTTATCAAAGGGTCTCAGTTAATCACCTTCTCCAAGGTATCCTCACCATGCCAAGCCAACATTGTATCCATATTACATCATCGCATGAAAGAATAAAATGGAAGATTGTTTGTTAATACATAGTTGCAAACAATGTAGAAAAACAAGAGTCACATTAGATTATGCATTTACTTGTTGAACAAAAGTTTCATAATCAAAGAGTAAAATCCAAATCAGTCCAACAACATTTCCAATTCATAAGTTCATAAAACATGGTTACAAGGCCCGAGATTAATTAGCATCAAAAGAAAACATTGATGAAACAATGCTGAAATTGAGACCAAAAACACAAGCATTTTCGAGCAGAAAATTGGCATAAAAGAATAGTTAAACAAGTTGAAAGTTTGAACCCAATCCAAAATTTCAGCTCAACCCAATTTGCTCATACAAAACCCTAATATTTCTAAGTGTATATAATCCTTCATGAACACAGAGAAAAAAATTCTCAGACTGATTGATTCACTGAAAAAACTCAGAAAACCAAAAGAAAAAAAAACAAAAATTATCTGAACCTTGAGCTGATCGGAAGCCACCATTAACCGCCTTTTCACCCGCCGCATTCGTTCTTCCCCTAGCCCTTTGGTTCTCCGACTTCACCGTATTGATCTTATTTTGTTTTCATTTAACTTTTGTTTTTTTAGTTTTAATAGAAGAAAGAGATACACAAATCTTGTTTTTACAAATAGGGAGAGAATTATATTTGCTTGCAAATAAAATCTAAAGAGTTTTTGTTAAATGATGCTTAAACTGTCCTCTCAAAAACCATGCGCCTATAATGGAGGACAAGTGGTCCCTCCGCCATTTGTCCTCGTCTGAGAAGATGATGTTAATTTTGATTCTCTGTGTGTCTGCTTATTATTTTTATAGTGTATCTTTTTTCTGGATCATATGTCCTACATAAAATGGCATGTTGACTTGATCTGGGGGTTACAGATTTTTCTGCTTTAATTTCTTTTTACTAATTTTATTTTAATTTGTTTTTATCTTTAAAAATTCATTTTAATTTCATTTTTGGCCCAAAATTTCTAAAAAATTCACAAAATTCATTTATCTCATTTCTGAATTAGTGTAATTTTTCTGGAATTTAATTTCGTTTTTTTTCTCTCTATTTTTAATCATTTTCCACTTATTTGAGCGGTTTTAATTATTTTAAAAATACTTTTGTGTTTCCAAAAATTACCAAAAAAATTGTAAAAATATTAGAGATTATTTTTTACTTTTCTATAGCCTCTTTTAATTTTTCTTTGATATTTTGAATAAAGTTTGCTATTTTACCTTTTATTTTCATTTTAAAAAACATTTTAAAAGTCATTTTCTTATTATATCTTGATTGATAATTACAATTTTATTTTTGTGTATATTCTGACTGATCTTGGATCATATAGATTCTAGTCATAAGCTCCATTAACATCATTGGATCTTGAGTGTTGAGTTTAATTCCACCAAAATGGATGAATAATTTTAATGATAACTTGACTAATCCTTTGATTCAAATGTGAGATTTAATTTCTTGTCTATATCTACTTCATCCCCTTTCTTTTAGTTTCTTTTTAATCAATTTGGATAAGACATTTGAACTTTAATTTCATCTAAACTTATGGATAGTTGAAAAACTATTCTCCATAACTTAGGTCTTGATCATCTTTTTGTTTTTTACATGTACTACATTGTTTTAGGAGCTTGATTTTTATCAATGTATCTAACATGTATGGTACATATATTGCTATTGACCTACCTCAGATATGTGTGACTTCAATATAAGTCCATTTATGATTGCTTAACTTATCGTTAAATTTATCTCGAATCGAAAAATGATCATTCGTGGCTCAAATTTTAGGTTTAAAAGTCCAAGTATGGTTGATTGATTATCTTTAGATCCTTACCTATGAAGCTTATTGTTAGGAGGCTTTGATTCTATCAATCCTCTAATGAGTTTTCATTATTATTTGGTCCAAGATCATCATTTAATCATCATTGATCATACTTTGACCATTAACTTCTATCTTACTAACCATTAACAATTAACTTTACTTTATGAATTTACTTTATGCCTTTATTTTTTATTTCTTTACTTTATGCACTTTTATCTTTAGAATTTACATCTAATGCTATTTGCCTTTTTCTCGTTTGAGCATTTATTTTATGTCATTTCTTATTTACTCATTTGAGTTTTTATTTTTATTTTGAAGACACTTAATAACCAACTTGAACATTAAAATAATTAAGGCTCTTTATGGATTATTGGTTACTATCCTTGGCTTAGTAGAGTTGTGGATCTCTTGGACTTAGGATTAGAAGCCTTGAATACTTATAGACCTTGAGACCTTTGGACCTTATGTTTCCTTATAGTTATATTTCTTGTGCATTGATAAATCTTATGTGCAGGTGTTGTCATGTTGGCCTTAAGTGATCTATATGGTACATGGCTCAATATTGAAAACTTTGCTTTGGGATTTCAATACCTTGGGTTTCTTTGATACTTATTTGCTTGTGATTTATTTTCACATTGATGATTGGTATGCTCTTGGTCTATTCTATGCTTGTGGCTTTAATCCAAAGGATGAAAATTCTACTTTGACTTCATTATATCAAGTGTTGGCTTTTTGTTTCATTAGACCTTTCCTTACCTTAAATTTTACTTTGTATGCATGGGATAGTCTCTTCATCTCTTGCACATCTTCTTTAATTTTAAAATCTTCTCCCTTCTTTTCAAAACTCTTCATGTTTTAAACTTGAACCGCTTTCATAATAAACTTGGACTTAGGTCCATGCATTTTCAAAAACCCCTTTCTTAATCAAATCCTAATCAATTTAATTATACTTTGATATCTTTTTTGAAAGACTAAAAGCCATTAACCTCATTCAAAAATTGTGTGCCTTAGTGCACTTTTCTTTTAACCTTTTCAAAAAGTTTAAGACATGAGTCTTTTCTTTGAGTGTTTGCAAACTTCTCCACTTTAAGAAACATGGTAATATTGAAGTAAATTTTCACTTGTATGATGAGACTTGCACTGTTGAGTTGGTCCATGCTATAAGTTCTCAATATTTAAGTTAAAGCAAGTTCTCTTTTTACCATGATTGTCATAGTTTATTGGTTTTCCACTCAGATAAGACAAAATGTCTTTTACATTAAAACAATCATAACAAACCAATTTTGGTCTTTTTTACCCGAACTACATGGATTTTGATTTCAATATTGCACATTGTTGGTATGTAGTTATAGAGCTCATTGGAAGCTTTATCAAATTAAAAATTGTAAAAAATACTTCTTTTCTCATCTCTATAATCCATTTTGTAAATATTTATTTTTTACGAAATACACAGATTTTCAAAGAGGTTCCTACAGAGTATCGTAGATGTTTAGGATGCTAACACCTTCCTTTTATATAATCAACCCCTTACCTTTATCTTTATCTTACTTTGGGTTTTATTCACTCTTTTCTCATTTCCTTTGGAAACAAAAAAGTGGGGTGGCGACTTTCACTTTGTGAGTTAAGTCAATCAATGGCTTAGTCTAAACTTTTTACCGCTACAGAATTGAGAAATCTTCAGAGAAGTAAGAGGATAAAGGTTGGGAGGAATTGGTTCTTTTTAGAGCCATTTGGATGATAATGAAGATTATTTGAGTGCAAAGAGTGTTTTTTGTGCAAGCAAATAGTAAGAAAAATGATGTAGTGAAGAGAAATGAGAATGTACCTCTTTTTATAATCTGCACTTAGTCGATTGGACAATCAGTTAGAAATGGTAAATTTTGAGATTTTTCTGTTGTAAGTATCCTTTACAGTATTTACTCCTTCAACTATCCTTTGAGGAGTTATCCAACGTTCGAATTCTTACATTTTTAAGTGATTTAATCTATTGGTTCAATCGGTTAAATTCCTTTTTTCTCTTTTTGTTCTTCTTGGCTTTGAGCTTATTGGGCTTTGTTGTTACTTTCACACCTCCAATCGTTGCCTTTTGTACTCCCTAAGCTTAAAATACTTAAACAAACTCATTTTATAGGTTAGAAATAATCAATTTGAAAATGAGTAATATAAAATGATTTTTTAAAACATGAGAAAAATAATTAAATTAATTATTTTAAGCGTTAAATTAGATTTAACTGATCATTTCAACCTTAAAATAATTTTACCCATTTTGTCAAGGAATTTCTTGACGAGAATCCCCTAGGGAAAAACACCTCAATAGTGTGTCCTTCTCTACACATGGTTGGATGCAATAGTTGGTAAAAACACAATAATGAATAATTTCATCGCGTATCTATTCATTCTAGTGATCATCTAAGATCATTAATATTTGAGAAGTACTCAAAATGTGTTGCTTTGATCACAACAGTTGACATTCGTCTTCATCGTTTCATCTCTGGGATCAAAGACTTTAAATAATGTATACTTCTAGAGTATACTTTTGTTTTGTGTAACTTCTTCAAATAATATTCTTTAGAAAATTTAAGTTGCAAAGAAAAACCTGCAAAACACTTAAGGTTTCACCTTTGGTGTCCATATCATCTTCTTGAACCCAAGTGCATTAGTCACAAAATATCTAAAAAAAATTTACCTTTATATACTTTAAGTTTAAAACAAAAATATTATAAGTGTCCTGCTTTCTTACCGTAGGTACATTTGTACATTGAATGCTTTTTGTTTTCTATCTAGAACTTGTAGGTGCCTTTGAGCATATTTTGTCCTCTTCATTGGAAGATGATTCTTTTATGTGTGTCCCCAAGTTTGATGTCTTTCATCTTATTTGTTCAACTGTTGAAGAAACTTCTTCACCTTCTTTGTTGTTCTTTGAACGAGAGAGTCCTTCATTTGGTGTTGATTGATCAATGATAGAGTATTTTCTTTCGAAGGATTGAACTGGAGTTGTATGATATGAATAGGATGATGATGATGATGATTATTATTTAATTTGTATTTGTTTATCTTCTTAATGATTTACTTCTTTCTTGATTTTCCTGAAATTTATGAAGGTTCTTATCTATAGAATTAAGAGTTGGATAAATTCTCCAATTCTTAATTCTTAGATATTTGTTAGCAAAATAGTTTTTAATAAAATATCTTATGTGTATAGTCCTAGGAAAACATTAGCAATTTCCTCGCCTCATGTGTTCATCTTCTGTAGCTTGATACTTGGAGAAGTTCCATATATCTTTTCAAGAGTATCTCACACTTACTTGGCGGTTTTACAATGACGAACATCAAGAAGGTTGTTATCATCTAAAGACATTATTATGAATTTTTTGGATTTGAGATCTATATCTAACTTTGTATTTTCTTCTTCAGTCCAAAGAAAGTAAGGTTTTTCCTCTTCTTTATCATTTACTTAATGAGTAGGATGAACCGGACCATTGATTATGATTTTCCATAAATCATGATTTATACTTTAAAGAAAAAATTTAAATTTGATTTTCCAAATACCAAAACTGTATTTTTCAAAAGGTGGTGGTATGTTTAAAAACGATCTTGTGTTGGAAATCATCTTTCTCCTGAGATGATTAGTCCTTAAACAAGAGTTAGACTCTGATGCCACTTGTTGAACTTGAGACTTCACACACAAT